TTAGATGAGGATAAGAAAGAAAACTGTTTTAGAAGGAGGAATAGCAATTGCCAACTTCCTGAAGTGAGAAGATACTTTATGTAGTTGAGGAAGAACAGAATATTTCTGTCATTCAAGGGGTATGAGTTATTGGGAGGGGGAGCTTAGCAGATGAGGAGAGACAGACAGAGGTGGACCATGCAGATTTTTGGGCACCAATATAAGAAGTTTGGTTAGGTTTAAAGGGAAGCTATTAGAGAATTATGAGACAAGAACCTGGTCCGATTTGTAGTTTTAGGAGACTGCTGCTGAATATGCTGGATTTGGGAGTAATGGAATAAGTCAGGATTATTTTTTTATCTGCATATCTGGGTGAGAAATGATGGCACCATTTACTGAGATGGGGAAGTTAGGAAGAAGGTCAGTTTAGAGAAATTCAGTAGTTTTGTTTTGAATATGTTTGAAATATCCAAGTGACTATCATGAAAGCAGTTGGATATAAGTTTGAAAGTCAGGGAAGGAATCCAGAGTTGAATACATAAATTGGAGGCACCACCATATCTCTGATATTCAAAGTCAAGGGATGAGATAAAGTCACATTAGGGTATATGTTCTAAAGATGAAAAAAAGCATATAATTATGTCCTGGGGGCATCATAATTGTATAATTTGGGAAGTCAAGGAGGAGCAAGTCAAGGACTAAGCAGAAGTGGCCAGTGAGGTAGGAAAAAAAATCAGGACAAGATCATGTTTTGGAAGGCAAGTGAATAATGATTTTCAAATAGAAGGAATTTATTTCTTATGTCAAATGCTACTGACAGTACAGTAAGATGAGAACTCATGTAATTGGTTAGTGATATGACACCAGGAAATTGGATAGATCATTTGCATCAATGTTGACATCTCTATGAGTGGTAGAGAGGAAGTCAGTCAACCAGGTGGTAAATTTTTTAAGATGTTTGGAGAAGTGGCAGAGTGTCACTAGATAACTGCAGATAACTTAAGAAAGTGTAGCTCATAAAATTTTTCAGGAGGAAGGAAAGAGAAAAGATCTGAATATGGCAAAGAGGAGCAATAAATACAACTATTCAACTCCAAGGTCCTGTGGTTATAGAAATTATGCAGAAAAACAAATGGCTACCTGTTACCCACCTGGGCTAAGATGTAGTATTCTCAGCAGGTCCAAGATTTCACTGAACACCAGAAAGTTAACAAAGCATTCTGAGTAGATTTTGGATGTTTGGGAAGGGATAATAGGATTACATTGCTATATATTGTTACATCAAATTATGTTCTGATTTACAAACCTTCCAAAAATTTTAGAACTATCAATATTCTTAGGTCAATTTTTTTTCTATGAAGTCTGACTTAGATACAATACACTTCATAGCAAGTAATAATTGCCATGGGGGGTACTGTATCTACATTTTCAAGACTTCAGAATTTTATTTCTCTACTTTATTAAATAATCAATTTATTAAGATTTTAATCAATAGTAATTGATGTACATGGTATTTAGGATATGAATAAAAGGCTCATTTTTTCTTTTGAAAGGAAATAATTTAATAGCAGGACTCTAATGAAAATAATATTTACTTGTTTAGTTTATATTGTTTATTTCCAAAATTAGCCATTATTGTTATTGTTTTGTGCAGACGATGTTTAAACATTATCTTTGCAACTGCGGTTTTTCATCTCTAAGAATTTTTTTTTCTCGAGAGTACGTTATTTAAAATTTCATTTATTGAGGTTGCGTTGATGACATTTTTTGTTCTTGATTGTCTGAAAATCTTACTAATTTTTCTGGCTGTAGAATTCCAGTTGTTTTTCAATTAATTTCAATTGTCAGTCTAATTGTCATTCCTATATAGATGATATGTCTTTTTCTGGTGCTTTTAAGACCATCTCTCTTCTTTGTATACTGTACTTTCACAATGAAGTGCCTAAATATGATATTTTTAAAATTTTGCTTGAGATTTATTGAAATTCCTTGATCTGAAGTTTGAGATCTTTCAATTATTTTGAAAAGTCTTAGCCATGCCCAGTGGCATGGCTCAGTGGTTGAGTGTTGACCTACGAACCAGTAGGTCATGGTTTGATTCCTGGTCAGAGCACATGCCCAGTGTGGGGTGTGCAAGAGGCAACCGATCAATGATTCTTTCTCATCATTGATGTTTCTATCTCCCTTCCTCTCTGA